TTGGAGCAGATCCTTCCACTAAATGGTACGCAGGCGGTCAAAGTACACACTTGCCTTATTCACGTTCAGCACAGCCGAAGATCCTGTAGCGTGTTGAACGCAGGTGCAAACTCACTCAGAGAAACAACCGGTAAGTGTGTGATGTTACTTAAATACAGTTTTATTTTAGTTTTAATGGTGGTTCTTTATTGTAGTTCTAATTTGATAAATTGCAAACTGGTTTTCTTGTTTTATAAACTGTGTTAACTCTATTTGTTAGCTAAGTTTTCATTATATAGAGAATACTATATTTTAAGTTTTTCTTCTGTTAGCCATCATAAAAATAGCGGCCAACCAGTACAGCTTTCTTTTCTTGAACAGGAAGTAGTTTAATGTCAGAATCTAAACACTTTTCTTCTTCCTTGTCTTAGGCTACCTTTATTTTTGGTGTTGACTGTGCTGGACTTTGTGATCAAGCGTATAACTAACACAAAATGGCAGTATTGGTAAGTTGTCTTTTGTTTTGTTTTGTTTTTTGATTGACTAATTTACCCTTTGTAATCCAGTTTAAGGTATATTTGTTTTTGTTGATCAAAAACACAGATTGCCAAAGGAAGGTCTGTGGCAGAAAAAAAAGGAAAACAAAATAATTAGCTTTGCAATAAAAGCATTTTTTTAGTGCACAGTCTACATCAGTATTCAAATTGGTATTTTGTTTCATGTCATTGGCTAAATTTTACAAGATGATCAGTATTTTTTATTCACCTGTTATTGGTGATCTCAGCTGATATTTTTACTTGTTTATGCTTTTTGCTGTCTTAAAATCATGATATACTTTTAAGTAATTAAAATTTGGTGGCTTTATATTCTTTTTCCAGAACTCCAGGATAAATTCCCAATGTGGTCAACTCACTTTGAAACGTCAACCATGCGCTTTGTTTTTTCACCACACTGTGATCCTACTCCTTCTGACAGATATAAGGACAGGTAACATCTACACAAACGTAATCAGCTAAAGTAAATACTTTACACAAAATATATCCTTCTTGGAGGTCTGTGTATATTTTATAATATATTTTACAATTTGTTAGGTGTATAAAAATATAAATGAAACTGAGCAGTCAAGCTTCAGCTGCAGATAATCTAAGAACATTAGATAAACATGACTGTGAGATACAAACTTTGTCCTGTCCTTTCAGGTCAGTCTCAGACAGTAACACCATCTCAAACAATAATCACAGTAGTTGGTGAGGATGTCATCTTACCATGCCACCTTGACTCTGCGTCAGACGCTGTTTCTAAGATTCTGGAGTGGGGGAGACCTGACCTGGATCCCAGATTTGTCCATGTGTGGTTTGAGGGTCAAGACCATCTGGTTAATCAAAACCCATCTTACAAAGGAAGGACATCACTGTCCACTGAGAAACTGAAGCAGGGAGACCTTTCACTGA